GCGCCGCGGGGGCGGCTGGGTAGTGTAGTCCTGGCGTCACCGGCGGAGCACGTGTGAAGGGTGGGGCGGACGCACGAGGCTGCCAGGCGGGGCCCGTGCGCTCGGGCTGCCCGCGGTGGGTGCGCATAGCCCTCGTGGGAGGGGTGCACAGCGCTGCTCGAAGGCCCTTTCATGCCACCCCGCCCAGGCGCTGAGCACCGCTCCCCTGGGCAGGTGGCACCGGCTCACCTGGCGCCGCATGGGAGTGACCTTACCTGTGCCCACACAGGTGCCCTTCTCTGGGGACGCGGAGCAGCCCTGAGACGTGTGCGCCCCCAGCCCGCGCCCGGGGGAAGGGAGGGTGGTCCCGCGGGCTTGCGGCAGCAGGGACTCCTTCCCTGCTGTGGTGTTGGGGTCAGGGCCCCAAGTATGCCCCCCCCCGCGTCTCTGCTGTTGGAGGGGTGGGCTGGAAGCAGCTAGACGGATCTGCTCCAGCACCCCTTGGCTGCAAGCTGGCCTGGGCATGGTGCCGCAGACCACGGCGGACCAGCTGGAGGACGTGCCGGCTGCCCTCGCCGTGCCGCCCTCCTGAGGGCGGGTGCCTAAGCACCGGGGTTATCTGGAGCACAGGATGTGGTGGAGGAGCCGGCCTGGCACCCACCATGGCTCCCGTGTTGGCGTTGCTTCCTTCCTCTGTTTGGAGAAGCTCTTCCTTTCCTGCCTAGGCAGTGAAGCAAAACTGGGCAGGGGGAAGCATCTGCAGCGTACAGCAGCCTTGCCTCCTCACTGCCATTGGTGCTCCCACGTCCTACGCTCGGCCTCTGCAGCCAGAGAGCAGCAGGTGAAGCTGGGGCTCTCCAGCGCTTGACCGGAAAGCCAGAGCTCACCCATGCTAAGTAGTTTCAAAATGGATGCATCACGTTGCTGGTGTCCTTGGAGTGGGTCCCAGCTCCCAGCCCAAGCTGCTGAGGTCCCCTGCCCAGCATGGTGCTAGCTGTGGGCCCGTGGCTCTTGCCCCCACACCACAGGCAGGGTAGCGGGCAGCAGGGCAGCCATCAGCGGTCACCCTGCCCTGTTCAAGGAGTTTTCTGGAGCCAACAGGCTGGCACAGAGCAGCTGCCCCAGGTAAACAACACGTGGGAGCTGCCAGGTGCTCTGGGCAGCTGGGTCAATAGAGACGCAGGCTGGCTTCTCAGTCACTCGCGGCTGACTTGTGTCTTTAGGAGCTGCTCCAGGGGCCCTGGAACGAGCTTCCGACCAGCACTGAGCTCTCCAGCAGCCCGTGGCTGTGGGGCAGGTTACATCCCTGGGTGAACAGGGAGACATGAGCTACTGGCTTCAGAGCACCCTCTTCTACCCCCAGCCTCCCCCAGGGCTGGCCTAGAAGGGAGAGGCTGCACTGGCCTCAACCCTGCCACCGGCTGGCCCCTTGCTTGGCCAAACAGAGTAGCTGCCACTTGGCTCCCACTCTTGTGGTTCGTTGCAGGCTGGTCCAGCGACCCCCGTACTTGGCCTCACTTAAAGAGCCGCTGCAGGGCAGCTCCAAGGGTCAGCACACGACTGAGTGCCAGGCCCCACATGCAACACAGCGTGGGGCCAGGCATAGAGCTCTGTCCGGCTGCAGGCAGCTGAAGGATGAGCAACAAGGAATTCCCCTTGCACTTCCAGGCAGGCAGCCATAGGGGCAGGGAGCAACCTCTGGGGCTGATGTGCAGCGTCAAGGAGCTCAAAGGGACCTTAAGAGCAACCCCTTGCTGCCAGCACTGCTGCTGGCTTCTCTGCTGCCCTCCACCCGCTGCTGGGCAAGGCTGGTCAGCAACACCCACTGAGTCTGTGCCACAAACAACTGGCCATGCAAGGGTCCCCCAGGCACGAGACACTGCTGGGCAGGCTAGAGGAGCCTCCGCTGCACCCAGTACAACACAGACCAGCAAACTAGGGTGGCTTCAGGAATCTGCCACCCCTGTGGCCCCTGCTGCATTATGCTGGAAATAAAGAGGCCCTGGGCACAGGAGATGCAGTGAGACCTGTCCTTTAATTGGGGGTTTCACAGCGAAGTCAGAAGAGAGGGCAGGGCCGTGCCCACAGACAGCAGCTGGGCCCTGGGGCACAGCACAGAGACAGAGCAGCTGGGAAATGCAGGCACAGGAACCGAGCTGGCCAGAGAGCTGCAAGGCGGAAGAGGTGGCCCAGGCAGGGGGAATGCCGGGAGGCCGAATCTAGGATGCAGCCAGGAGGAGGTGGAAGTGGGGACACTCAGGCCTTCCCCTCCTGGGTTGTTCCTGCCAGCTCTCTCTGCCACCAGGCATCGTGGGCATGGGACAGCTCTGAGCTGTGTCTCCCATGGCCCCAGCACGCTGGTGAAGGGGGGGGCATGGGCCAGCAGTGTGCCCATGCAGGCAGCCCTCCTGGAGAGCTCTGGGAGGCTCACGGCTCCTGCACTGCTCCGGCAGCAGGCTGCATCTAGGGTGGGTGCTGGGGACCCCCTATGCAGGAAGCAGAGCTCAGCATCAAGCAGCATGCTAGAGTCCACTATAGGGGGAGCCGCACAGCTGGGATGGCCAGCGCTAGCAGGGCTGGGGCAGGCAGCCGAGGCCGCGCTCGCTCCGCTGCTGGACCTGGCAACAACCAGCTGCATCCATGGGTCAGGGCGCTCTGAGAAGCCCCCCAATGCAGGACAGGGCAGGGCAGAGCAGCCAGCCCAGGGACCCCAGCCCACACACGCAGGGCTGGCCTGGGCTCCTTCCCTCCCAGCCCTGCTCCTTCTGCTGAGGCCACAGAAAGAGCTGCACCCCTAAGCACACAGGTGCTGCTCCTTGCCTGGCGAGGACACCACGGTGGGTGGCACCAGCTGGGTCACGTGGGCTGCTCTACTACCACCGGGTGCTGCAGGGGCGAAGGTCACAACAGCCCTGTGCAGGGGAGCCTCTCGTACCCTCTCCTGCTGCAGAGCACCCCTGGCAGCCACGACTGGGGCAGGAGCTTGGTGCCTGGACTGGGCAGCAACTTGGGGCTTTCATCCTCTACGTACAGGTATAAGCCAGGGCTTCCCATCCTAGCAGAGCGACTGCGGGTGTGAGGAGGGGGCAGGGGTGAGTGCTGGATCTGTCACCAGGGGCACCGATCACCTCCAGCAGAGAGAAGTCGTCGTCATCATTGTCGTTTTGGCAGTGCATGGGGAGGGAGCGCTGCACCGAGCTGAGCTCACCTTGCCAGGCCCAGCACAGCCGCTCCCCAGGCCTCTCACAGACTGGCATCAGTTCCTGGCAGCGATGACAACCGACAAGGCCACACCACCCAGCGCCACGGCCGTCGCGCCAAAGAGCCACTTCCAGGGAATCGACTGGAGGGAATGAAAGTACTGATGAGCACGGCCGGACATGAAGCCCTCCTCAGCACACCCCGGCCCAGCACAGAGGCCTGCTCCAGCAGATGGGGAGCACGAGGGGCCAGTCCCAGGCTGCTCTTGGACTAGCAACCCCACTCCCAAGCTGCGGCCGAGACACCGCGGCCAGAACTCCTCTGCCTGCCAACTGGAGGATCCCAGCACAGGCAACCACTTCGATCAGAGGCCCAATCTCTCCAGCTGGCACTGCCGCCAGAAGCAAAGCAGCAGCTCTGTTTTTCCCCAGTGAGGCAGGAGCACTCCAGCAGGCACAAGACAAGGATGTCCATATGCGCCTGGACACTGCACCCCCGGCACAAAGGAGTGGGCCCACAGCGAGCTACCACCCACCAGAGACCATGGAGGAGATGCCACGTGTCCTCCCCTCCCCGTGTCCGCACACCCCTGCCACTCACCCAGGGTGACTTGTCTTTGCATTTAACAGGGGTGCTGCCAGGGCTGGGATTCCCCAGCATCTTTCTGTACATCTCTGTCTCCACAGTCTTCTGGTCCGCGTGCTTCTTCACCAACTTGGAGAGCTCTGCGTGGATTGTCTGGGGACAAGAGCTTGCACATAACTGGAATGACCAGTCCCCTCTCCCTGGCCCAGCCCGTCTCCAAATGGAGAGGAGCTCCCTGCAGAGCAGAGCAGAGCAGAGCTCAGTGCCAGCGGGGCTGGGGACTGCCCGTACCACCCTGGGTTTTGCGGGTGCTGCGTGATGCAGCTCCGACACACTCACTACTGCTCATCGCTGGGGCAGGAGATGGCAGGGACAGAGCCTGTTTGCCCCTGCCAGCCAGGCCATCTCTAGCAGGGCTCACACCAGTCCCAGTCCCGGGCTGCCTGGATCCCTCCTCCAGCACCTCGACCCTATCCCAGACCAGCCTGCATCTGTGAGAACTCGCCAGACCCCTCCAACCCCAGGTCCCTCCGAGCACCCAGGAAGCAGCTGCGTGTCCTGCCCGGCTGGGGCTGCTGGCCAGGGCAGAGCCTTCCAGAGCACAAGGGACTCCAGCAGGGCTGGCATCTCCTCTCCAGCGAGGGCAGGACACAGGATGGTCTCCGAGGACGTGCTGGGCAGCACAGGCCCTGCAGCTTGCAGCCTCTCCCAGGGCGAAGCCACAGTCAGCACGGCACACCTTATGCCACGAGACCGAAGTCACGCCTGGGCCTGAGCTCCTGGCAGCCGGGTCTGTAGGTGCTCGGAAACGACCAACGAGCGGAGCCAGCTGCGCCAAGCCTCACTCTCCTGCCTGACAGCCCGAGGTTTGCCTCTCCGCACTGAGGCCCAGCTTGGGTTTGATTCCCTTCCCTCCACTGCCACTCACGTACTGCTAGCGGGCGCGATAGGCCCGCCGTGCCCCAAAGTGCAAGGCAATTCTGAACAGGTTTTGACCGAGCTCAGATTCTCGCCTTTCTGAGCACAACAGGGAGGGCCCGACCTCCGGAGACCAAGCTTGGCAAGATCCAGCTCACAGGAAGCAGAGCCCAGCAGCAACCTCGCCACCCAGAGAGGTCTCCGGGGGCGTTAAGACTAATAAGAAGTTTTTGCCCATGCAGCACAGAGCAGGCAGAGACCTGGAAGCCAGTGTGAAGCTGGACTCCAGCAGGACCTCTCAGCCCTGCTGCACTCCCCAGCACCTTCTGCGCTTGCTTAGCAGCTGTAGTCGTTCACCAGGGCCCAAGAACATGGACTGAGATCTGCTCCCTCCAGAGCAGGTCATTGCGCGCCCAGAAGCAAAGGTAAAAGCCACCAGGTTCCCCGAGGGGCAGGCCAGCCCCAGCACAGCTGGGAACATCGCTCCAGCTGCCAGTTGCACACAGCTCTTGCTCCAGCATGCCCTGTGAAGGTCCCTGTGCTGCAAGAGGTCCCCCCTCAACTCTGCCCTTGAGGCTGCAGCATCTGGCACGCACCCCACCGGGCTCTGGGCCAGGGCCCCAGATCCTTCCGAGCAGCGGCTCTCCGGTTCCCAAAGCCCACGTCAGAGCAGGCGCAGGCCCGGAGGAGCCCGAGCGGGAAGGACACAAGCGTCCTGGCAGGCATCCCGACCCTTGGCCCCGGCCCCAGGCTCAGGCGGTGGCGCGGCGCCATCTGCTGGGGGCTGGGCTGCTCGGGGCAGGCGCGCCGGCGGCTCGCAGGCAAAGGTGCCTCCACCCCCCGAAACAGCCGGGTGCAGCGGGGTGGACCCCGGCCTCCCCTCCATCCCTTCACTGTGCACCATGGCAGGCCCTCCCCACCTTCCTCCCAGATTTCCTCTTTTAGGGCCTTGGAAGAGAAGTGGGGGGTTCACTTTCCAGTTCTCACAGGGGGGCAGGAAAGGGGCTTCTCTTCCAATGGAAGTTTTCACTTTTGTTTCACGGGAATAGATTTTGGTTCTGGGGGAACGCACGTAAGCCGGCTGCTGCTGTGAGAAGGGGGAGCCAATTGCGTCGCATTGTGGGGGCGCATCGTGGGGGCATTCTGGACGGCGACAAGCAAGGGCAGGCCGGTCTGGGGAGTGCTGCTTCCACCAGGCCCAGGCTGTCGGCTGGCTCCATTCAGCTAAAAGCAGCCCTTGATGCCCAATGGCTTTTGTGCGAGCTGCAGGTCCGTAGCCAGAGCAGTCTCTGTCCATGCAAGGGCAGCGAGGCGCTGGCATCCTGCCCAGCTTGTGCAGGACCGGAGTCTGAGCATCAGCGTTATTTACTTGTTTTGCAACAGGCAGCAGGTTCCCGACCGGCAGCCCCAGGAGCCAAAGTCTACTCTGGGCCAGAAGGACGAAGCTACGCAAGTAGATTGCTGTTTTGCACCAGCTGTAATCTCATACATGACCAAATCATGAACTACGTCACTCCGCCTGCCAGATCATTGCAGCTGCTTCCCTGGCAGCCTCACAGCCAGCACTTTGCTGTACTTGTTCTACTGGTCATGGCAGCGTCCTACATTTGGGTCATTTCCTTTCCAAGCACATTAAAAGGGACGAGATCCCTGAGCCGTCCCTGCTCACAGGCATAGCGCGCAGGGAGTGCTGGCAGCCCAGCTTCCACCACTGCTCACATCCCATGTGCTCAGCTGCTGGTTTGCCCCCTCCAACCAGCACAACTGCTCTTTCATCTCCTCTCCCCGACATAAAGACAAGTTCCTGAGCTGACTAACGTGAGCTAAAACCGCAGGACGATGAGACCGCACGTTGCTTGGTCCAAGCCAGCAGCTCAGGACAGAGGACCTGGCGCGCTAACTTGAGTTACGAACATGCCTGCTCTTGAGCCTGGCACATGCCACAACAGTGCATGCTCCACAGGGAAGGGGCTGCTCACCCACCATGTGTGTTCAGCACTGGGTGTGGCAGGGCCTAATCCTGATTTTGGCCGTCAGGTGCTA